AGGCAGGCAGGCAGGCAGGCAGGCATTATTACGTTCTCAGAAATAGTTCCGGACATTTGAAAGCCTTTTCTGAGCATGACATATTTCCGTCATACTTTTATTTCAAAATGCTCACCTTTTGGAGTATTTACGTACAGCGGTAGTGACAAAGGACCAAAACCTTTCAAGGAAACGTAAGCTACTTTGACAATGTAAACAGTATTAGCCTGCAGTGTATCTAGGACAATAGAACGTTCGCTGGATCCATTCACAATTTTTGATCTTTCGCCATTTGGTGTAGTCAGTCTAACCAAATACCCAAGAACCAAGCCACTTTCAATATCCATTAAATCAACCTCGTCCCAAGAAACAATACATAAAGTTGGCTGAAGGTATTGAAGCCTTAGATTTTGAGGACGTGCTGTGAAAACTAGCGACAAAAATAACAATAATAAAAATAACAATAATAGAAATAACTGAGGCAGATTTTTAAATCTGCTTATACACTCGATGTAGCATACACTTAACATAAAAATAACATCATCAAAGTGAAACACAACAAAGGGATGCAGTCGAACACAGTACGTAAAAATTGAAGTTAAAATATGAAAACAAAGAAATAAAACAGCTTTGATCGAATGCGAAGTAAAGGCTTCTATATAAAAAGAAAAAATTGCAGATTTTTAATGCTGTTATCTCTGGAACACAGATAGTGTCGGCACTATATGCTCTATATACATGCAGTTCAACTAACAAGTTTCTAATTAGTTTAATTAGTTTAACTAATTAGTTTCCTTAATCAAATTCCTTAATCATATTCTTACCAATCTCCTCCGTCCTAAGGTAGAAAGGTTTACTCCAGGGTAATACACTCGATGGTGTTATGGCTCTGACATAAATTTCGTACATTGTAAATGCTTTCAGTCCAGATATGACCACACTGGTAACATCCTTGCTTGCTTGTATGCTGCTCATTTTGTGGCGTTTAATGTATGGAATATATCCAACTTCGTAGCCGTGTAAGTCATCATGGTAAACTATATTCCACTGAACAAACAGAACTGTCGAAGACAAGCTTTTTCCAAAGATGATCTTCGAATAGGTGTTATTATTTTCGGGTTCTTGAATCAAAAAGATATTCAAGTAGTGAATGACAATAAAGACGACAACGAATGGCAATAATTAGTTCACCAATCCGCAGGTGCAATACTGCATAAACTGCAACTAGCTATTAAAGCTGACACGATGCACTTACCACAATTCATTCCTTTAATAGCGTCTACAGCTGTTTTCCCTGCCATGCTCGTTGGTAAGGCGCATGTGCCGAAGAGCACGTTTCTTTCTCCAATTAGGAAATGATAAACATTGCAGTTACAATTCAAAGGGTTGTCACTGAGATCTCTTTCATGTGAAGATAACAAAAACATTTGCATATTAATTTGGACAGACTCAATATAAAGATACCTTAGTCATACAGCTACTGATCTTAACGGGCCACAAAAATGAAAAACGCAAATTCAGTAAAATTGTAAAGCCAGTTTTCTATTTAAAAAGGAGAATAAACAATTTTATGAATTCTTATCGGAAAAAAAATTCATAGAAATATGTATTAATAATTCTCATTATAAAGCTCCTGTTTTGGTATAGTGGTACTTCAAGTTCCTTACATTTGGATGCACACGTAACCTTGAGAAAACGGTGTATTCATTTTGCCGTTGTAACACATGTTGTTGTTATTCAAACGTGTATACAGACATGAAATATTTTCATCGCCTTTAAAAACGAAAAATAAAATAAACCATTTTTTCTCTCAGTACCAAATGGGGTCAGGACACACATCAAAAAGAAACTAGTGCGCAGCTTTATGGACTGCAATAGAGTGCAAACAATATAACCGTGAAACTTTAGTAATACTAAATAGAACAATTCAATTTCATGGAAATTCCATTGTTTTCCATTGTTTAATTAGCACTATTTTGTACTATTTAGTAATTAGTGTTTCACAGATTAATTGTTTGCACTCTAACTTGTTGCTATTAGTTAAAATCATTCATGAATAATCTGAATTATGATTTTAATAGACCTATCCCGAATTCGCTTGACTGGTTCATGAAACAATGGTTTCAAGTCGAGGTTGAACTTGATGAATAAAACAATCAAGTTCAGTCTCGACTTCAAACCATTGTTTCATGGTCAGTCAAGCGAATTCGGGATAGGTCAATTAAAGATGCTATTTGTGTTTCTTCGAGCATATTTTTCTCGGAAAACATTTTCCAGGCGGGATTCGAGCCTGAATAACATTGATTAAGCTTCTGAGATTGATATCTAATACTTATATATCATTCGACAACATCTGTTTTTCTGCTTACATTATCGTGTCTTTCATATTGAAGTATGGGAGCTCTTGTATATTGTTTGATCTGAGATCCCTATGAAAAACGAAACAAATCAAGAATGAATACGCTGACTTGGTAGAGACATATAAGAAAAACAAAACAAACAAACAAATAGCAGGCAGGCAGGCAAGAAGGCATCGATTTCAGGGGCGGATCCAGGATTTTTTCAAAGGGGGGGTTGTAGCATTGATTGAGGTACTACTGGCGGGAAAGTAGCACAGGTTCCCAAACGGAAGTAGGTCTTATGATAATGATTATTTGCTGCAGGCGAGCATGGTTGTTTCAGGTCCCACACACGGCGTATAGAAAAAAAAAGCGATCGAAATGTGTTCGGCACCCCTGTTTTAATAAAACTCGCGATGCTGTTGGTGTTGTCATGAAAAATAATAATAATCAATAATAATAATAATAAATCATTAGTGGCTCTCATAGGGGGGTTGCAACCCCCCCCCCTAGATCCGCCACTGGATTTATTTAAAACAATGCAATAGATATATTGACCAAATTAATTACCAATTGCAATAATTGCAAAATATAAGTTATCGAATCAACAATCCTGCCTTACTCCCTTACTTCGACATTTTTGCTTTTTTGCCTGCTTTCTCAATTTTCCTCCCTCCTTCCGAGTTTTTTTAATTGGTTCGCTCATTTGCACGTCTTCACTGTTTTTTTACACTTATTCCCAATGTGAAGGTCAAACAAAAGAATTCCTTTCTCTTGAGGATTGAGATATTTTGTGATTTTAAAAGTTTCCATTATCTTGATCCCTTATAGGTAGGGATTTAGCTTAAAGGTTCGATAAGTTAACTGAAAGTGCCTGAAACTGAAACTAGTTTTCGTCAATGATATTACTTACAGGAATTGTAGCTTCGGTAGCTGTGCAAATACAGCCAGAGGAAAGCTCGATAGACTGGACTGCCGAATGATTCTGAAAAAAAATATTTTAACGATGGGTCTTAAGTCAGTACGCTTTTATAAAATGCCGAGTACGTATGGCTATCCTTCGGAATGCCTGCCTGCTATTCAGACTAGCTCGCTTGTTAAATACTACCTTTAAAACATTCTTTTAACCAAATACCGAATTATTTTTAAAACTGAACAAATAGGACGAGCTGTGATGACTTGATAAATTAATATTATTTAGTATTCTGAAGTAAGCAAAGTAGATTCTCTCCTTCAGTTCAGGTAATTGTGAAGAGTCTGAATACTTTTAAACGTAATTACATACTTGCACAAATTCTAGTTTGCTAGTCTTGCAACAGATAAATATTTTAAGAGCTATTTTACTGTAATTGTACTTACAGTTGAGTAGTGTTCCTCGGAAGCTCGAAGCCCATCATTTGAATCTCACTATTAGGCACAAAACACATGACTAGTAGCTCGCCTGGTTCGTTTCCAAAACACGAACAACTCCATTTGTACGGACATGACACAACCGCGTTAACAGAAAGAAGGTAAACCAATGCACAAAGTAATATCATGTTTGCTCTAGCTTGAACTGGTGTGAGCAGGTATGTGTTGATTCTCTTTAAGTTCAGAAATGCTGTTCTTCAGAGACTCCCAAGCCAATCAGTAAAGTAAATACGTCACGCCGATTCAAATGCCTTACATACCACCGCGAGAATGTCTTTTTTTTCTTCCTCGAAAATAACTTCAGTGGACGGGACATGAAAGTTAAACTCCAATTCCCATGGGATACACAGCGAGAACAAAGAGTACATGCCTCTTTGATGTTTAAAAGAATTTGCAATCGAAAAAGGGTACATTTTAAAAAATACATATTTTCATGGGAGCAATAATGCAAATTACTTATCATTCTTTACAAAAATGTGCCGAAAGAATGGACTGAAAAAATATTTTGAATCTTTAATTGAAGACCACGGAATGCTTTCTACAAATGATATTACCATAAACTTTGAACGACTATTTAACAGGCTTTTTTCAGGTCTTTGACTATAGTGCATAGTGAGCCCTGCAACATTTTGTCAGTAGAAAATCCTTAGTTTTTCAATCGATAACCCATTTTTTTCAATCAAATAGCCATAGAAAGTGGGTCGAGTTAGCGTTGGATTGCATTGCGTCCCCTAAAACTGTCCCACAATACACTGCGATGCGAACTCCACCCAGTTTTTTCTCAAACTCGTAATGGCTAATGACCAAATCTATTTGGGGGCGATGTTTTACCCATTTCAGACCATGTGTCATTCCTTCGAGAATAAGTTCTTTGTTTAAGTTGAATTGTATCCATATTCATGTGTCTTCTGATACGCAACCTTAACAATGAATGCTAATGAGAAATCTTTTGTTAAATGGTACCTACATGGCCGCGATGACGTAACGTGCAAACGAGGAATAAGCAAAAAAATCTTTACCAACCTTTTTGTAGCTAATGCTTGATAGGCGTAGCTACTATGTCGCTGTCTATGTTTTGAAATAGCTGTATACAATACAGTGTTATACGAGGTTATATTTCTGATTAACTTATTACAGGGAGTTTATGGGTAACGGAGCGACGACTATTGCATTAAAAACTGAATCAGTCATAGTTAGTAGCTAGGTAGTATAAATGAACTATAACATTAAACATTTCTTCTTGGAATTTACTTTTTATTTGCGGAATCGCAGTATCAAACATAACAATGACACCACGAGAGCTACAGCAGTAGTCTTACATGTTATGCTTGAGATCTGCTTGAGATATTCTGAATTCCGAGAAATGTCAGAAAGTGCATGAGTTGCAAAAACATTTTCTGCTGATTATGGACATACTTGACATTCCTTTCTCGATTGACTGATTTACGTATATCTCAAT